TTTCGAACTCTTAGTAACTGTTCCAGAGGTTAATATAACAACACACTATAAAGACAAAAAAGTGGTTTAGACAAGCAAGCAAAATGAAGGATTCCCACAGCTTTTCTGAGAAAGGCAACAAGTGAGCATCAGTTTATCACAGAGACAAAACGAAGATAATATGACTTATCTAATGCAAGATGAATCAAGGTTAAAATTTCCTAATGCAACTAATATAACGAGTAGTATGAATAAATATAAGAAAAATGAAGATTCACATATTGCAAGCACCAAATAATTCAACAAATTGCTTTCAATTATAGCACAACTAATAAAAATAGCTTATCTAATGCAGATTTTTTTTATTATTATTATTTTTTATATTTTATATTTTTTTTATTATTTTATGTTTTTTTTTATTTTTTTTTTTTTTTTTAATTTTTTTTTAACTCAGGGTTAGGGTTTCTTAATGCAACTAATATAATGAGTAGTATAAATAGATGTAAGGAAAATGAAGATTTATATATCACAAGCACCAAATAAGACAACAATTTGTTTTCTTTAAAAATAAAGATATGATACTAGAATTTTATAACCCAATTGATAATGAAATGATTGAAATAAACCAATAAATTCAACCAGGAATTAGAAACAAGTAAAATTAGCAAGTAATTGACTTTAATTTCCACAAATTAGAATTCTAACATGTAAATATTTCAATTAAAATCAAGAACACTAAACAAGTCAAAATAAAATTATGTACTTTTGAAATTTCAAATGAAATTGGTTTAATTTTAGAACAATTCCTTTTATGAGTCAAAGAATGAAAAGTATGAAAGCCCTACATTCTAAAATGCTAAGTAATTCAAACTATCCTATGTTGGGCTTTAAAGTTTTAAATATTTAAATTATTCATTTTATTAATAGATTTCATCGACATAAGATTGATAAAAAATTCAAGAGGTAAGAACATAATAATGTAGCAAATAAGAAATTAATATGATGTGTATAAATGCATACAAAAAATTGAGGATCTACATATCACAAGTACAAAATAATTCAGCAACTTATTCTTTTAAATGCAAATATACTAGAATCACAACCCAACTGATAATGAAATGATTGCAATAATCCAAAAACTATAATGAGCGAGTGAATTTAAATTACACAAACTGCATTAACAAATTTTTATATTAAATCAAGATCACTGAACAAATCAATATCAATATAGAAGAAATATAACAAGGAATAAAAATACCAAAGAGAAATCAAGCGTTATGTCGGTGCATGGAGATAGCTTCCGCTGAAATTAGGTAGTCACATTTGTACAGGATTTAAGGAACCACACATTCAACTTGGACTCACAAGATTAAAACTGGAAAAAAAAATTATTCCAGTCAAAGGCTCAAAATTATGTATCCTAAAATATCTATTCATAGACTCCTTACCCACTAAGTTAACAGAAATTATTAGCACACAATCAGTTTAATCAAAGTTTAAATTAAATCTAAAATTAATTTCATCCATAATTGGAAACATCCCAAAAATCTTATCCATAACAAAACATACTTAAGCTCATAAACCCTAATCCCATCAGCCATAAACCACAATTTAAAATTCCGAACTTGTACATAACCATGCACACTTTCTCAACCAACAGGAAACATGGCATGGCACCAACAAGTGACCCGAATGCACGCAGGATCCACAACCTAAAATTTCCTAAGAAAAAATTAAATATTTCATAACAGCTACCTATCGAAACATGAGAGTGCCCAAAAGCGGCAATCACATAGTCAAAACAAAAGAAATAAATCGAACAGAAACGACCTAAAATACTCAAGAGAATATTTCGGGTAAATACTTCTTAAAGGGCATCCATCCAAATTACATTGCCCAAAAAGTAATAATTGCGCATCATTTTCCTTCTAAAAGAACGGCATAAAAAAATAAAAAGATAAATTTAGAAACTAAAACAGGGAATTATTGTCTGTATAAGCATAGACGCAAATTTTAAAACATTAACTTGTCAGCTGTCTTTTTTTTTTTTTTTTTTTGGACATTTAGGCCATTTAAGGCAAACTCTCACACACAACGTATACACAGAGACTCGAACCTTAGACCTCTTAGTTGGAAGTCTTAGCTCACAACCAATAGGCCAAGGAGAGTTGTGTGTCAGCTGTCTAATAGCGCAAATAGCATGAAAGAATTAAATGAGATAGTCACTTGTGCGCTACAATATCCAATATCTTTTACCAGTAAAAAATAAAAATTCGAGGATGACAATTTTCCGTAGCGATCACTAAAACAATTGAAAGCAAATGTCTGGTAGCTTGTGCAATGGGAAGTTTTCAGAAATTTTGTTCAATCAGCACAGCACTATCAGGCAAGTAGAAGCAAATGTAAAGAGCTCACCTTAAATCCTGATTTGTTGTCTAAGCAGGACTGCCAATCTTCCTTCATTTCCTTCAAGGGTACTCTATCATGCGGCCTGTCAAGAAAATGATTTCCAAGTAGGATAGAATAAGATTCAAAAAAGCTAAATCAAAGCCTTGATCAGCATAATCACGTTCTTCAAAGGCTTCATAAATGTCATGTAATCCAAACCTTTTGGGTCCAGATACGCATGGCTCTACTTCTTCCAGATTCAGCTCTAAATATGACGAATACACTCTTTCAGCCTGGGCCTGCGGATGGAAATTGATCAGCAAGCCTACAACAATAAGTCTTTATCCCACTATGTGGGGTCAGCAAGCATAAAATAATATAAAATCATGCTTATGAGACAGAAATAAATTATCAACTGAAAATTTTGAAGGACAAATACCTGACTGTGGTCAACAAACATTTTATTGGCACGTAAGTATGATTCTATCATTGCAACCTAAAAATTGACTAGGAATTAATAATCATTAACAATAAGAAAAACAGTGGAAGAGCAACAGTTCGTATCAGTGGCTAACAGTTTCATCACTTCTGCCAGTCAGCTTCAGATATTGCAGTGTAACGTGATCCACAGGAAAGAATCCCATGGTAGCTCCATACTCAGGTGACATGTTTGCTATAGTAGCACGATCTGCCAGTGGTAGCTCACTCATGCCTTCACCTACAGCCAAAGTGTGTGAAACACATGAATAATGATGGATAAACGAGCTAGAAGTAACAATAATGCATTAGAATGAACTACCCAAATGAGCAAAAAGAAAGAAGCACAAAATGCAAACTTGTGTTATACCATAGAACTCAACAAACTTCCCAACAACACCATGCTTCCGAAGCATTTGTGTTACAGTAAGGACCAAGTCAGTAGCTGTCACACCATTCGTAAGTTTTCCCGATAACTTAAATCCCACAACTCCAGGAAGCACCATACTCATTGGCTGCATGTTACAAAAATAAGTTATAATGGTAAAAGAAAAGCGTATGCTACAAATATTAACTAGTAAACTTATAAAACGAAAGTTAGATGACATGAAAAATAAATGTGACCCACATAATAAAAGAGAAAACATGATCAAACATGATTTAAACACGTGTAACTAAACTTTCTAGGCCAAAAGTTGGAGTGATCATAGTTCAATATGTGACTGTAACTTGTCCATCATTAATGAAGGAACGAGATTAATGAACAAGAGTTTATTTGTTGAACGGACCATATCACATTGTTATTATATAAGAAGCAAAAACGCTTCACGAAAGAAAAACAAAATAATCACCATGTCCAATAAAACAACACATTTATTTCATATAAACTAAAATACTTTTATGCAGTAACATTAGTATAAAATATATGGAGCCTTGCAGTAGACGATTGAGCACAATATAAATTTGAAGAATCACACCAGAAGTCACAACAACACAATAGGATATGTAATAAAGCCATATACCATTAAATGAACAAATCGAGTTATCTAAAGTATTTCTGTGCGTCCCAAGTAAGCTTTTTAGTCTATACCACATGATCTCTGTTGGCTAAAAAAAATGGCATGATCTTCGTTTAGAAGTTACACAAAAGTTTGAATTTAAAAGGGTCTTATGTCTTCTCTTAGAAGTAAAACATGTGTTTGAATATGGGTCAGGACTCATGACTTTCATAGAAAGTAGGCCGTATGTTTAATTTAGAGTGGGGCTTACGACTCTATTTAGGAGTTGCTTGCTAGCGGATATTCGTAAACTGAGAAGCAGAATTATTCCCTTTATAAAAGTAAAATGGAAGCACTAGTCAGTAAGGCTTGCTACATGGGAAAATGAGGCAGAATTGAAACAGAGGTTTCCTCACCTCTTTGAAGAGGTATGAAAAGTTGAATTTCGGGTATGAAATTCTGATGAGGGAAGAATTGTAAGAGCCTAATTTTTTCAGGTATGTAAAATTAAGAGTAATTAAATATATTCAAAATTTTATTTAAATTCAATATTTACTGTTATAAAGTAAGTATTAATTGTTAAGTGTTTAATTAATAAAAATGATTAATTAAAGATTAGAAATTTTATTAGATAAGTAATTGTCTTGAAAGGATGCATTCAACGGGTGTGAAATCAGTTGATTGTGGGCCCTCATTCCCTCATCCTTCACAAAATAATCAATGGTTTGTTTAGATAAGGAAGCGGAGAAGCAGTTTCACGCAAGCATATAGTGCACAGTGCAGTAAACAACAAGAAGCTGAAGAATGGGTGGGTTTCGGCAGTAGAAGTTTTGTTGTCCAGTTCGGTACAGTCCCTGGATTCTTGTTGAAGAATCAGTACAAGGAGATTTCTCCAATAACATTGCTGCAGGACAGTAGTGGAGTTTGCATAATCTCCTGTAGCAACCTTCGGCTTAATGCAGAATGCACTGTGGTTGTATTCGGCACAGTGAAATTGATGTTGTATGGTTTTCGGCTGCTGATGAAGTGGAGTTCATAATTATTAGTTAGAAAAAAATTCTATGAAAGCAGTGCAATTCATATTATTGTGTAGCAAAGTGTGTGTGAAGAAATTTCTGTGAAACAGAAATTATAAAGTAGTGTTGCATGCAATCAGAAAATCAAATAATATTTCAGATTTGGGTAAATAAATATGTAATTACTTTTAATAAGATTACAACAACAACATCAAGCCTTTATCCCACTATGTGGGGTCGGCTACATTGTGTCCTATTAAAGGTCAAATTCTCGTTTAAATCTAATAAAGAAAGGTCATTCCTAATATTTTCTAACCAAGTCTTTTTAGGTCTGCCTCTACCTTTCTTAACATAAGTCAAATCTAATGCCTCTACTCTCCTAACCGGGTCATTGGAAGGCCGCCGTTTTATGTGACCAAACCATCTAAGGCGACTCTCTCTAATCTTATCTTCTACTGGAGCTACTCAAATCTTTTCACGTATATGCTCATTTCGTATCCTATCTCTAAGGGTAAAGCCACTCATCCACCTGAGCA